TTTTTTTTTTTTTTCTGAAGTACTTTTGCGTTTGTTAGCTGCTAAGATGACGTCAGTTCTTTCATAAAATTTCACTTTCTTTGCTCTTAATCCTACTATGAAAGATAGTCATTTGAAAAAAAAAAAGCGAATGATGATTGGGAAGGAAAAATCATATGAAGAAGAAGAGAGGGAAGAGGACTGAACTGTCGTCTTTTTCCAGATCGATTTGAACAAAAATGTTCTATGCATAAATGAACGGCTGAGATTGGTGGCGAAATTTGAAGTTCATTAATATGAGGTAGTTTTTTCGGCGTTCACCAAGCTAGCACTTGATGGTATAAGGTTTTGGATAACATGGCTGATGCAATTCACCTGCAATCTGACGACTACCATCAGTCATTATTCGAGAATTTTTTTTGAATAGGGATATTTTTTATGAATCAGATGGATTGATTGGTGATTTATGTTAAATATTAGTAGCTACAGTAACCAGTTACAGCATCTATTGTTATCATTAGTTCTCGAAGTGCTTCCAAATTTGTTGCCATTGTCATCGTCGTTCTTATTATTGCTTTTTTTTTTTTGTTGCTGCTGCTGCTGTTGATGTTGTCGTCGATGATGATATTCAGGTAAGTCGTAATTGTGCTTAACAACAGATTGAAATAGCACTGGGATTTCGCCTCTCTTTCACTTATATTTAGACAGTACATTTTAGCTTCACATTCAAAAGTGTACACGAGTCAACTTGTAATTTTTATATTTTTTTTCCACTTTGAAGGGAGTTGGAGGGAGCTGAATGTGAAGACGAAAGGAAAAAAAGAAAAGCAAAAAAGAATGAAGCATTGATGAAGTCATCGTTATATAATACGGAAAGTAGGGGTTTTGGATACTTGCTGCAAAATCGAAATTCTAGAAGCTTTAGAGAAAGGAAGAAAAAGAAAGGGCTGTAACTGGGAAAAAAATTGATTTGAGAAGAGAAAAAAAAGAATTTTTATTTGAATATGGAAGAAAAAATAGGAACAATTTAACACATTCAAATAATATTTTCGTTGCTTTGGCTTTTTCTGTTTTCTATTTGTTTGATTTGATTTCTGTTTTTGTTGGTAAACAGTTATATTATATTACTTTAAAAAACGG